GTGGATGTTTAGGGAGAAGGCCCCTGTGACACTGAGCCAGTGAAGGTTAAGCAACTAGCAGGCTGACAGAACTAAAAGCAACCTTTTAAGGACATAGTAGAAAAATATTGAAATGGTAAACAGGGCCATTCCTTGAAGATAGTTAGAAAATCCATGTTAAATAGACTAGAGTTCTTGAAATTTAAGTCTGTATTGTTAGACAATCAGAAGTAGATACTGATTGTATTTGTCTGTGTTTACCTATATCTTGTTAGAAGTTTAGCGATATAAAGGGGATATTAACATTTAGATGAAACTTGTAGTGTAATAAAATAATTGTGTTTATTTCTCTTTGAAGTTTGTAGTAAACTATCTATGAACCGTTTGAATGGTTAATTGCCTTACGGTTTATCAGTGTAACTAGTTATCAGTGTATGCCTATGAAATAGAGATTTACTTCAAAACAATAATGTACATTACCTATTCTTCATCCAAGGAATGCCTGCTGTGCTCATTTGCTGATAAGAGGCTAATCAGCTGAGCTTTGGCTATACAGACGCTCCTCGACTTACGCAAGCGTTCCATACCGGAACGCCTTGCGTAAGTCGAATTTTGCATAAGTCGGGGAGGTATACCCGACAATTATGCAAAAAAAAAAAGCTTACGGAACTTTTTCCGTAAGTACAGGTTTGCATAAGTCAGGTTTGCATAACCCGGGGAGCATCTGTAAAGGGACTTTGGGGACTGATCCTTACTATCTCAGATCTCCTTAAACTTTGTCATGGGAAGCTCAAGTTGCAGGATTGAGGTCTCCAGGTCTCTACTCTGAATTAGCCCTGCAATTTCTCATGGAAGAATTTGAACAAACTCTGCACCTGGACTGCTTATTGGACTATAACCTATTGAACTGATTCGGGAAGGACTGTTAAAAATCAGCAATTTCACCATCTCTGCTAATAAAACTGATCTAAGAACTTTACTCATATCTGTATGGATAATCTTTAACCATAGTAAATCTTTTCTTTTTTAATGAAATTTTAGATTAAATTCATAAGAATTGACTGTAAGTATGTTTTTGGGTAAGATCTGAAATATTCATTGACCTGGTGGGTAATGCATCCGGTCTCTTGGGATTGGTAGAACTTCATATCTGGTGAATACGGTTTTAAATAACCCTCACTATATAGACTTGGCTGTCTGGATAGGAGCCAAAGGCTGGATTGCTTAAAGGGAACTGTATTTTGGCTTCTCGGTAATCAGCGAGGTAGTACAGAAGCTGTTTTGTTACTGGCTTGGTGAATTTAATTATAAGAATAAACCACCAGATTTGGGGATCGTCTGCCCTACTCTTTGTAGTTTGCCCTGACTGAGCATTCTCAGTATAGCCCTTCCAACGACCACGGTCACAGCCTCCCATGCACATAGGGTCGCATGGGAGAAAGCACAAAGGTGTTTGTTTTAAAATTCAGCAAGTGGGCAGTGGAGGCTGGCATCATGAGGTGATCAAAGGCTAGCATTGACTGCTCCACTGCCAATGAGATGATAAGTAGGGTGATAAATGAAATTGAAGTGAAGTAGGACCCACCTTCTGGAGTGATTCACAAGCTAGAATACCAACCTCAGGGCAGACTGTTAAGAAACAGAGTACAAACCATAAACTGGTTGTGCGTTCTGTAATTAGAGTTCACCAACCAAGTAACAAGTGGTGTAAAGGTAGATAATAGTGAAGGGCAGTGTCCTAATGTAGGCTCTCATAGCTGTGAGTAACTCCAAATATAATTTTGGAAGCTGTTCGAAGGGGTGGAGTGAACAGGGTACTTAGATGGGCCGGGAAGATGCAAGGAATGTGTGGAAGGAGTTTGGAGAGAGCATGGCAAGCAGTTCTGTATCGGCTGCAGGAGATGGGGTGCCCGCATATATTCTGCCTGCAGACTTCAACATCTCCATTTGCTATTCCATCACTTTTATCATCCGCTCCTGACCCATTAAAATTCACTCTTGGCTCTCCTTCCTGTCCTGCCTGTCTGTTTTATGATGTTCATTTACAGTCTCTCTCCATGCCCTGTGTTCTTGTTTTTCAGTATCTGAGGATTGGAGCATCTCTCGAAACAGCTCCTGGTCAGTCACTTCCTTAATCTGGCGGAGGTGCTCTGCCCATGTGTATGGGGTTCCCCTGAAGGCCACATCTGCAGAAGCACAAGAAACAATAAACAGAAGCATGGTGGTTAGTGCACTCACAGCATTGAATCATAGTAAAATACACCTCTTTTAACATACAAATCAATTTCTCATTGTCCCTTGACAAGCACACAGCTTGGCAAACATCCTAAACATAGTGAGTTTGGCCCGGAGGTTGGTGCTCATGATGGGACAGAGGGTGTAGGTGTTTTTTTGAGGTGATCACTGCAAGCGACCAGGGACAAAATTGTAAATGCTGCCAACATTTTCCACAGGCGGGGGTCATTGAAGCCAATATCTCTTTCTTGAGGGTATGCAAAGATGCAATGGTGCATCTCCTGCATGCACGGACTTCAGACCCGGTCCCTATGCTGCTCACCTATGTGCCACTTTGGTCCTTGCCAAGTGGTTGCCAATTGGTGTGGGAAAGTTTCCTACCATGGGGGGAAGGAACAAAGCAGCTCTGCCAAGGAAATGTGGGTAGAGGATTGATGAGTACCTCCAGGAAAGTTTCCTAGAGATCTCTTTGGAGGATTCCTGTGAAATCTCGGTGTGCATCAACACACCGTTCTGCCCCACTCTGTAGCTGCACAGGGGAATGTGAAGCATACTCAAACACAGCTAGTCATGTACATTTCTACCCCTTCAACCACTTCTAGCATATAACAAAGCAAAGGACAGTTCTACCTCATATAACCGAGCAGCATTAACTCAAAAACATCACTTACCAGAGCTCCCCTCTCCTGCATCATGTGTGCCAGAGCTGGAGTGCTGGGACTGACTCGAACCTTCCTGGATTGAGAAGAGATCCTGGCTCTCCACAGTACCAGACAACCCTGTCACCTGTCCCATCTTGTCCTCCAACTTGATTTCCTCATCCACCACTTTGTCCTCGGAGTTGAGTCCGCTGTCTCTAGTCCCTCCAAAGTATCCATGGGGCTGTTGGCAGTGGAGGTGGGATCGCTGTTGAGGATGGCATCCAGCTCCTTGTAGAAGCAGCAAGTCTTTGGCGCAGCACCAGAGCAATGGTTTGACTCTCTTGCCTTCTGGTATGCCTGCCTCAGCTCCTTTATCTTTTTACAGTACTGATGCGTGTCCTGTTGGTAGCCCTTCTCCAACGGGCCACAAGAAATCTGACCATAGGTATCAAAGTTCCTATGGCTGGAGCGGAGCTGGGACTGCACAGCCTCTTCTCCCCACAGTGCCAGCAGATCCAACAACTCAGGTGTGCTCCAAGTGAGAGCGCGTTTGCTGCATGGAGCTGCCATGGTCAGCTGGGAAGATGCAATGTGAGCTCTCCACGCTGAGCAAATGGAATTTCAAAAATTCCCAGGCATTTAAAGGGGGAGGGGCGGATGCCTGTGTAGCTGGATGAAGGGCAGCAGAGTTCGAACTGCTGACCAGAGTGGTCAGGATGGGCATTGTGGGATATCTCCTGGAGGCCATTTAAAGTGACATAACCAAGCACAGTGTCTACACTTACACTTTGTCAATCTAACTTTGCCGCAAAAAGCTCTTATGTTCCTCGTCGAGGTGGCTTTATTTTGTTGGCGGAAGTAGTATTGTAGTGTGTACACCTCCAGAGTTTTGTCACCAAAACTGACTTTTATTGACAAAACTCTGTAGTGTAGACAAGGCCTCAGACACGAGTTCAGCACATAACACAAATGGGTGTCCTAATCCAAAATGGAAGTTACAATATAAAATGGATCTCACTATTTGACTCAGACGTATTCCATGCTGTCACACCTTCATCTGTAAGTCTCCCCCAACCCTGGCTCCTTCCACCATAAAAAGGGGCAACCAGGAAAGGAGGGAGAGATTTTGCAACTAAAAGTGCCACAGCTTGTCCCTCTGGTAGAACTCCTGTAGTTTGCCAGAGAGGAGTCATGGTCTGACAGCCCACCTGTTGGAATTATTATTGTTTGTGCAGGGTATTACCATGGCACTCATTTAACCATAAATTCCTTTATTAAATCCAAAGGCTGAATGATATTTATACAATTGCTCTAAACATCCCTAAAAAGCCTAAATAACAAGCAAAATCACTACATCCAAACAGTAAAATGCTTATAAGCATCTGATCAAGCCACTTAGAAACAGGCTAAACTCAGGGGTATTTAGACCCATATTAGTTGACTCTAACTTGGTCAGGCAGGTATTAGCAATGAACCCTTTAAGAATTTACCTTTTTATTATGTGTTAACAAAGAAGGGCCGAGGGATGTGCAGGCCGCCAGTTCCCACAGCCCCCATTGGCCTGGAATGGTGAACCGTGGCCAGTGGGAGCTGCGATCGGTCGAACCTGAGGATGCTGCAGGTAAAGAAACCGTCCCGGCCCGCTAGTGGATTTCCCTGATGGGCCACGTGCCAAAGGTTGCCGATCCCTGGCATAGAGCCATGGTCGACCTACAGAGGTTGGCACAGTGCGATAGCAGACACTGAAAGCCTGACAGTGACGGCTTCTGTAATATGGTAACTGCTTCGGAATTCACAAGTTGTCAGACTTCAGAAGTTGTCAGTTATTTGACTGAAGATGAAGAAGCTAAACAAATCAAATATCAAAAGATATTACAAAATTTTACTTTATTCTTTCTACTTGCGTTCCTACCAGTTATTTCCGCTCTGCAAAAGCTGTATGAACCTCATTTGCTTCAGTAATTTGTTTCCGCCCCCCTCCCCCACCATATAACACATTCTGCCCATCCTAAATCAATGAGATATTTGTTCTGTTGATGAAGATCCTGTAGTGAAGCTGGAGTATTGGGTAATACTTCAGAGTGATCTACATCGGAGCTGCAGGATTCTCCACCCTGGGGTGCTCATTCAGTCCCATCAGATGGGTTGCCTAGAGACTAACGCAGGGGTCTTGAAGTCAGGACTATCATCCACATTACATGGTCAAAGATAAATCAAACCCCTACGGGCTAGGTGCATATTGGTGGCTGGGGGAGTCTAAAAACTTGGTTCCTTGGATGGTAAGTACCTGTTTCCATGATTGTTTCATGGTTTCCTGGTCCCATGCAGCACTGAAAAAGCCACAAGGCTGAGGCTGGGGCTAGGAGCTGCCCAACACTTACAGGAAGGGTGGGACAAAAACTCATAAAGAAGGAAGGCAGCTTCCAGCGGCCCTTTACATGAGTATGTCCCTACTGTTATATCCGTCGTCACGCAAGGGGCCTTGCTCACATTTGGGGCAGCGAGAAGGAGAGCACAGGAAATCAGACCAATGATACCTGTAGGCTGGGAAGCGCTCTCCTGGTGATTCCCAGCCTGGTTAAATAAAACCCATGGAAGGGACCTGGCCAACTATTGGGCGGGGGGAGGAGAGGAGCGGAAGTTGTAGCCGCAGCTGGATGAACCTCATTTGCGGGAGCTAGGACAGGAGGCTTCCCCATTTGTGGCAGTCCCCAGCCGGAGACGGGGACGAGGCAGCACCTGCCAGGATGAATGGTTTGCTCCCCGCCCCCAGGAGGGAGGAGACCTTCCCGCCCCCTCCACTATCACGTGGGAAAACAAATGCTGCGGCCGCTGCCCTGCCCTGCTCCTGTGGCCCGGCGGGCGGGCTGCGTGCAGCACCATGAAGATGCATTTCAGCATCCCCGTCTCGGAGCAGCTGCTGGAGAAGTTCGGGGGCCGCTACGTGGTGGAGTATCTCGGCGCTAAGGCTGGGGGGCCGCGCCGCCGCGGGATCCGGGATTCCGGCTCCCGGGCAGCGCTGTTATGGCTCGGGGCAGACGGGAGTGGGACGGGGAGCTGTGTAGGGAGGCAGGGGAATTGGGGGAGGGAGAGCTGTGGAGGAGGAGGAAGGGGGTGCTGTGTAGGTAGGGGAGCCGGGAGGTGTCTGTGCAGGCAGGGGAGCGGTGTGGGAAGGCAGGGGAATTGGGGGAGGTGTGTGCAGGGAGGGGAGCCGGGAGGTGTGTGCAGGCAGGGGAGCTGTGTGGGTAGGCAGGGGAATGGGAGGCTGGATAGGGAGGGAGGGCTGTGGAGGAGGAAGGGGGTGCTGTGTAGGTAGGGGAGCCGGGAGGTGTCTGTGCAGGCAGGGGAGCTGATGCCTCTTGGGTGTATTTTCAGCTGTACTCTGTGTACCTGGAAGGCTTCCTCTTCTGCAAGGTGCGCTACAGCCAGCTACACCACTGGAACGATCAGGTGAGAGACTCCAGCCCAACCCCCTTCTCACTCTCCCTTGCCAGGTTCAGCTAGGGGAACTTCCATCAAATGGCCAACAAATGCTCCATTGAAATGAGGAGAGACAAGGTGGGCGAGGGCGTATCTTTTACTGGACCAACTTCTGTTGGTGAAAGAGATGAGCTTTTGAGATGCACAGAGCTCTTCTTCACCTCATTGAAATGAATGCAGGCTGAGATCCTGTAATGTTGCCTGTGGATGGTAATGAGCTTTTCTTGTGTAGTACTTGAAGTGGGAGGGAGATACATAAAGGTCTGGGTGCTGTGGAGTGAGTGTGTTATTACACACATTTTTAAGGTGCCCAGCACCGTAGGGAGTGGCAAACTCTGAAGCAAAGCAGAGAAATATTGAGAGGAGGGATGTCGGGAAATACAATATTCTGGAAATTTATATTCGTGCCAAAGAAGAGCTATTTTTTAATTTTGGGTAATGGAGATGGAATTTTTTGGCTGTCCCCCATTTCCTTTGCACTTAAATAGGTAATATGAAGTATGAATTGGAGGTGATTACAAATCTAATGCTTCTTTGATAAACTCTTCACCCTTTATAAGCAGTTTGATTTCATTTTTTCCTCCTACTTTTCCAATTATTTTCATGGCAGTTCTTTGGCTTTTATTATGCATACCCCAGGCATGCTGGTCTGAGCTATATGCAAGAGATGAGATATCTTACCCCCCCCCCCCCCACCACCACCCCTTTTCTTTGCAAAATATTTTCCATTTTTCCCATAATACTCCTCAGTGAAGGTTTAAGGTGTTTCCTTATTGAGACCTGGCAACATCTGAAAGCTATGAAAGGGGAATTGAGTAATGGTCATGTACCAGTATTCAGGGGAACAGGTTTCACACAGTTATTTTTGGTATCATTGACTGCAAGAAGTTTGCTCTGATTTTAAGACATCCAAAACTATTGCAGCATTTCTCTCCGAGTCATAAATAACACTAGAGCCTCTTTTAGGCTCTGTCTATGCTAGAGTTCAAATCATAGGGTTTTTTTCACTGTTCTTGCTTGGAAGGTGCTAACGTTGTTTTGAGTTCAAGTATATAGGCTCCAACTATGTATGTTGGGGCCAAGGTCCTGCTGTTAACACACCTATGGACTGTGTGAGTCAGAGTCGTGGGAAATACGATCTCGTGAATAGGGCATTAGACTGGGATTGAGGAGACCTGGGTTCAGTTTCTAATTTGACTACAGACACTCTGTGATCTTGACACGTCAATTAATCTACCCTCTTCCTCAATTACTTATCTGTAACATGGGAATAATTACTTCCCTGCCTCAAGGGGTTGGTGTGAAGATAAAATCCCCATTAATGATAGTGGGAGCTTTATAAATACCTAGAGCGGTTTATCACATAATTTTCAGATAACAGTAAGTGTTATGGATAATTACATAACAAGCTCTTTTGTATTGTGTACAACCTGTTGATCTTCATTAGTGTATTCTTCTGGATCACCCATTCTCTGATCTAGTAACAAATATGAAATAGTAAAGGGGTACTACAGGAGGGTGTAATAGATTTATGTTTATATATTGCCTGAGCAGTGAAAGACACATCAAATAGCTGGATTATTTCCATCAGTCTTACATTTTCACATCCATAAATGTCCAGATCACTTATGTTTAATAGTGTCCTAAGGAAGCCACTCTGCTTAACAATTCTAACAGCAGACTGGAAATAGCAGTAGAAAATGTACTGCAGAGGTCAGTCCAATACTGGTGATAGGTGGACTGGATAATCTATTCCAGAAGTTCTCAAACTGTAGTCTGTGGAAACCTCCAAGTTAACATCATGCTGGTTCCCTCCTCCACTCCAGCTGCTATATTGCGTGAAGACAGCTGCAAATACATAGAAAAGGGCCACTAGGGAAGTATTGTAAGTAGGGCTGTCAAGCGATTAAAAAAATTAATCGTGATTAATCGCGCTGTTAAATAATAGTAGAATACCGTTTATATAAATATTTTTTGATATTTTCCACATTTTCAAATATATTGATTTCAATTACAACACAGAATACAAAGTGTACAGTGCTCACTTTATATTTATTTTTATTATAAATATTTGTACTGTAAAAATAAAGAAATAGTATTTTTCAGTTCACTTAATACAAGTACTGTAATGCAATCTTTTTATCATGAAAGTTGAACTTACAAATGTAGAGTTATGTACAAAAAATAACTGCTTGCAAATAAAACAACGTAGGCTCTAAAATTTTACAAATCCACTCAGTCCTACTTCTTGTTCAGCCAATCGCTCAGACAAACAAGTTTGTTTACATTTGCAGGAGATAATATTGCCCGCTTACTGTTTATAATATCACCTGAAAGTGATAACAGGGGTTCGCATGGCACTGTTGTATCTGGCATTGCAAGATATTTATGTGCCAG